AAATTTCCACATGTGTTTTCTTCAGTAAAATGAGCATATATTGAGTTTCCGATATCGGATTGATTCGATTCAAAAACCGTTTGAAAGCTAAGAGACAATCGATCATATTTGTAGAGAAATGTTGATCAAATAAGATCATGATCCCATTCAAAAGCAGTCGCAAGTATGTTGTTATGTTATTCTTCTTTTTCAAGGCTTATTCGTGTGGATCAATTGGAAGTGCTAGTCTATCTTCCTTTGATGTGAGTCTTATGATGCATGTATCATTTATGGTGCTGACGTGGCAGTCTACAGTGCCTTGTGACGTGGCAGATGACATTGCAAATTGGATAAATTGATTTTTTATTGATTTCAAGGGTCAAATTGGGTTTTTTAAGTTCAAGGGCTTATTTGGTTTTTCATAAAAAAAATTTATATTTTATATTTAAAATATCAAATATAGAAAAAATTAAATATAAAAAAAATTACTCAAAAAATTTAAATAAATAAATTTTAAAATTAAAAAAAATTAAATTATTAAGGAAATACGTAAAACATACTTGCTCGGAAATATATTTTTTAAATTATGATACTTAAATTATTTTTAAATATAAACTTTTAAGTTAAAAAATAAATTCAAATATATATAATTTTTTTAATTATAATAATATATCAACTAAATTAATATCCAATTGATAATTAAATTAAATGACTCAAAGAAATAAATTGATATTAACCTTATGTTTTTAATTGTTTCTAGCCTATTTATACAAATTATTTCAACCCTTTATACCTTTAGTTTTAGCAGATTCATTCATAATCTAAATTATCCAATTTTTTTAAAGGAATCATATTTCTTGAATAGTTTGAAAAATATACAACCCATCGTGCACTAAGAACAATAATATTTTAATCATTATGATTAATATTTATATTTTTAAATTTTTAGTCATTTAACTTTTATTTTTAGGATTTTATATTTAATTTTTTTTATTTTTGTATAGTTTAAGTTTAAAATTTAAAATATTTAAAAAAAAATCAAATATGCCCTTAAACTTTAAAAAAAAACTCAAATTGACCATTGGACTCGACTAAAAAAATAATTTAGCACATCCGCCACATTATATTCCATGTCATCAGCCATTGTGGTTCGTCACGTCAACACCGTGAAGTGTCAAGTCAGTACCGTAACGGTTAACGACGGAAACCGTTGTTCAAAGGACCAAATTGAATTTGTTTTTTTGTGTGAGGGCCAAATTAGATACAAAAAATTGACTAGAGCCACATTATTATTTATTTTTGGAAAAAGTGCGAGAACTTCACGTACCCTTTTATAAAAAATAAAAATACTTAAATTAAATTTGAATATAACTAAAAACTCAATCCTACCTAACCCAAATCCATATATCATCAACTGAATGCATCATGATATGGTGTACAACTCAAGTTTATGCAAGTTTTAGTTAATAATCTAAGAATCCGATTAGGGATAGACATGACATGCAAGAGAAACGTGTAATTTCTTTTTATTTATATATTAAATGAACGTGTAAATCAGGAAAGTAACCATATTGGAATAAGGAACATTGCTGTCACAATCTTAGCGTAGAATTCAGATGATTTTATTATATAAAACAAAACAGAAGATAAAGCCGAGTTTGGTTCTGCTTTGTTAAGTTTAATTTCTTTAAAAATCTGTATCATTGTCTTTAATTAAAAATATTAATTTTTAATGATATCGACACGGTATTTCATATGATAATCCATATATATTTTATATATTTTTTTAAATATTTTTATAATTTTAACCATATTTGTTAATATGTAATATAAAACAAATAATATCTTCTCAGTATTGAATACATATAAAATATTATACAAAATATCACATTTAGGTGTAGAAATAAAAGATAAATTTGAGTTTTATTGTCATTCTAATACAAAATTAATTACACTATAGACGTGTTTAAAAAATAGTAGTAAACTTGGATAAACAATAATTAATCAATGATTTTTTCAATGGAAGTATTTATAACTCAATTAATGCGTGAACCGTGGTATCAGGGTTACGATATCAACACTAATTAAAAGATAAAATTAATAAAACTAAATTATTTTGAAGATAAAATTGAGGTAACTAAAAATAGAATAAAAATAAAAATAAAAATAAATATTAATTTAAATTTATTTAAAAGAAAAATAACCCTTAAGCATATTATATATTATATACCCACTACAATGTTTGATGGGAATGCTATTGGATAGTGAATTTTAAATTCTTCAGTTATATTCATCCTTTCGAACTTTTCTTATAGTTGACCGGAAGATCACAAAACAAGTGGAGGCCATTTGCAAAGGAACTCAATAACCGTCTTTAATTAGTTGTCGTATACAAGCATAACTAAACGTAGGGGTGTGTAATCCGGGTACCTGAATTTTTGGGTAATTGATTTTTTAGTCTGTATTTTGATTGGATGTTGCGGGTATCCAGTAATCGGGTATCTGAATTTTATGGGTACCCGGATACCCAATTTTTTCCCTTCAAATTATTAATTAAAAACACATAAATTTAAATGTTCAAAACTTCAAATTACATTGTCCAACATCCAAACATTAAATTTAAAAGTTCGAAATATAAAATCTAATAATCTATAATATAAATAAAACAAAAATTCATAGCTAAATATATGAGTAGATATCTTGATACTCGAATCATGATCATGGCTACACTTCTTCATTTGTCATTCTCCTTTCCTACAAGCAATTCTTTTATTAGATATAAATAAATCATAAGTTTAATATATAATATTATTAATAATTAAATATATAATAATATAGTATTATTATTATTATTATTATTATTATTATTATTATTATTATTATTATTATTATATATAATCCTTAACCGGGTACCCGAAAACAAATTCAATTTTGTGATCCGAACCCTACTCGAGAAATGTCTGATCGGGTACCCAACCCGGCCAGATAATTTTTTTTTAAAAAATTATCCAATTTTTTAGATTCGGGTCGACGGATCAGGTCAATCGGGTCGGATATTTTTACACTTCCCTAACTTAAGGCATTGAATAAGGGGTTGGATTTTAATACAACTCACATGCTTAATGGCCCTTTTGAGAATCGGATTTACTTTTGGGCCTTTCCAAAGTGATACACTAAAAAAATTAATTAAATTATTATTTTTTAAATATTAAATCAATCAATTTAACTGATTGTTCACCCCTAATCATAAAATACATTCAAGGAATACTATTGAGGGGTGAATATTTGAACCAATTAATTTGATTCAAGCCGAAAAATCTTGAATTAGTTGCGTTGACAAGTTATATTTTATCATTTAAATTTTATTTGAATTCTGTTCGAATTAAATTATTTGAGTTTCAGTTCAAATTTAATTATAAATATTTATAAAATTATGTTACAAATTAATTTAAACTAATGATTTTCTTTCATCATATAAGATTTATATATATTTCTTCATATTCATTCACATTGCAATGTTATTAAATAAATCAAATATCATCTAAAACTATAGAATATACATTTTTTAAATATATTCTAAAAATAAAATATTGATGAGAGTATGAAAAAGTTAATAAATTGATAAAAAAATAATTTATAAAAATACAAAAAATTAAATTACATGCAAAATTAATGAAATAATTTATAAAAATGTAAAATTAATATTGAAAATAGAAATTAAAGTTATACAAATATTCTCTAATTTGATTAACAATGTTACTATTACATCATATTGATTATTGATAATCATGAATTCAACATGAGAATTTATAACGATTATGGAGTATTTAAATCTATATTAAAAATTAAATTATTGTTTATATAGAACTTCATACCAAATAAACATTTTTAATAAATACAAATATTAAAACTACGCACAAATTTTAGTTAAATATTATATATAATATTTTTAATACAATAGATTATAAGATAATATTGTTTAATTTTTTTAATTATTAACAATATATACATAATCAGGGGTGGAACTAGAAATTTATTTTAGGTGTCAAATTTAGAAATTATAAGAATATTTTTTAAAGGAGATAACTGAATTTTAAATTTTTTTATTGTTAAATGTTTTTTTTAATATGTAGAGTCAATTTCTTTTTAAAAAGGGTCAAAATCTTTTTAAAAATGGTGTCATTTTCTTTTCTTTTAAATTATATATATATATATATAATTTACAGGCCAATTTTTTTAAAAAACTTTTGGGGTCTAAATATATAATTATAAATGTTTTACAAATTTTTAGAGAAAACAACATTATTTTAAAATAAAAATGGATGCTTTTAGAAAGTTAACTCGAATATAGGGATGTAAATGAGACGAAACAGATCGTGAGCTATTCAAGATTGACTCGATAAAGGTTCGATAAATACTCGGATCGAATGGACTCGAGATCGAGCTTGATTCGAGTTCTTAACGAGCCAAAACGAGCTACTTGATATTCGACTCAAAAAACTCGTGAGCAACTTGAAAATATAATATATTAAGATATTATTTAAAAAAAATAAATTATCAATAATATTAATATTTATGTATTGTTTTTTTTTTAAATAAAGTAAAATTTTCATGTATTTAAGGTCAGGTTTAAGTTTGAGTTTAAGGCTTCAATCGAGTTAAGTTTAAGATTTGTTTTTCAAGCATTTTCGAACTGCTCATGAGCTTCAGTTCAGGATTTCGAGTCGAGCTTCAAAATTTTAAGCTCGTGAATTTTCGAATCGAATTGAGTTTTATTTAAGAATTTTCGAGTCGAGTTCAGCAATACTCGAATTAGATTCGGCTCGTTTACACCCCTACTCGAATATATATTCCGATTATTAATCCAATTTTGAAAATAAAGCAAAATAATAAAAACCGCGTGACTGGCTGTTCACCTTACACGACCGAATCCAAAATTCTCCCACCATTTTCAAGGTATTTTCACTTCCCTTTCTCCTTCTAGTTACTTTAATAGTAATACGTACTAACAATTTCCGTGTGTGTATCTATATAATTCATTTTGCTTCATTTTCCTATATCTTCTCCGATCCATCGCCCCCTCGTTATTTGTCTCTCTCGACTTTTGTTGATTGAATCTTTTGCTTGTGAAGGGGTTAGGGTTTTCGAGAGATGGGGCAACAGTCTTTGATCTACAGCTTCGTGGCACGTGGAACTGTGATCCTCGCGGAGTACACCGAGTTCGCCGGTAATTTCACCAGTATCGCCGCTCAATGTCTCCAGAAACTCCCTGCTTCCGACAACAAGTTCACCTATACCTGCGATGGCCATACCTTCAATTACCTCGTTGAGAATGGTTTCAGTAAGAAGTTATCTTTTGTTTGGTTACGATTTGCGATCTCGATCTTTTCCTTATAAGCTGGTTGACTTTTTTTAGTAGTCGGGTTATTTGATTAATGATTTGAATGTGTAAACCGGTATGGGATCCGTTTTGTTATTTGACTTTTCTTTAAACGTTAATTATTATTGGCATGTGTAATGTGTTGGATCTGGGTTTTGTGTTGATTTGCTAGCTGTTTTTGTATGAGTTTGTTGTTTTCGTATCTTAGTTTTCTATCACATTTGGTCAAAGCGGAGGGGAAGTAATTTAATTTGAACATTGTGGTTGTATGTAAATGATGCGTTGGATTTCATTTTTACGACCTTTTTACTTTGATTTCCATTTTTAACTCATTTTATATGTGCACATACTTGTGTTTGTTTATCTTTCTTGGGGTGAATCAATGAAAAAATGCAAAGATAGATTAATTAAAACCATGATTCGTGATAATGTTTTATATATCCAAACAAACATCATTGTTTTCTTATATTATTATTAAATCAGACATTGATGCTTGTTTGTATGCGTAAAACATTATTAAGAATCATAATAGTTGATTTAATGACAGATGTAATCATGTAAATTTCTTCCTTATAGGGTGGCGTCTTCCATTTCTATTTTTGGGATAGGCAAATGGATGTAATATACAGTGTGGATGCATAAATTAGATGATCCTAAAATATTATCTGGTTATTATAAACATCATTTAAAGCTTCACATAATTTACAATTTGCAAGATTTGGGCCTGGTGGAGGCTTTATTTTTATTGTTGCTTCTATGCCTGCCTCCTAGCTAGCTGCATTTCATATTGTTTTTTTGCCCTCGTCTGTTAATATATGTGTGCATGAATATACTTTGCATCTGGTTTCCATGTTGGTAGTACGAAATGGATGCTTAATAAATGGAAAGTAAGAACGATGCTGGTAAGCAAAGGGATCTTGTGTAGAGATAATCAGTAACAAACAAGGAAAAAAGAAAAACAGAACTCCTAGTTTCACATTTTAACTTAGTGTGCACTATCATGATCGTACTTCAAATCAAAGAATATCAGCTTCTAGTCATACCCATTAATGGGGCATATCCATTCTACTCTCATTTATACGTTGCAGCTGGCTGCTGTCTTTTAGCTGCTATTTGGGTGCTGGAGTGATCATATTGGTTTGGAAGCTATAGGATATTTGCATAATGGATTGCTTTCATGGAGAGAAAGGGAGTGATTCCCTTCCTAAACTTGTTTTAATCATAGGTCTACATACTGACTTGTGGTATGATTTTTGTTGAACTTGGCTTGGGTAGGAAATGAATCAAGTGCAAATTTTTATTTTTTGTAACTCATAATTTCTTGAATTCACGTTTCACGTACTATTGTTTATGAAATACTTTTGGTGCTGCAGCCTACTGTGTAGTTGCTGTTGAATCTGTTGGCAGGCAAGTTCCGATTGCATTTCTGGAAAGAGTTAAGGAAGACTTCAATAAGAGATATGGAGGAGGGAAGGCTGCAACTGCTACGACCAAAAGCCTGAATAGAGAATTTGGGTATCTAGCTCTCTATGTTTCTTCTTATGGATTTACTTTTTGACTTCTTGGGTATATGCTTAGCTCTTTGTACATAATAGGTCCAAACTGAAGGAGCATATGCAGTACTGTGTGGACCATCCTGAAGAGATCAGCAAACTTTCTAAAGTGAAAGCTCAAGTTTCTGAAGTCAAGGGTGTTATGATGGAAAACATTGAGAAGGTAATAGGTTGCTGCTAATTATATCACTGTTCTAGGTGTAGTTTGAGGGTTAAAACACGTCAAGATGCTTACAACTTTCAAAACCATGGCATAAAAAGCAGAATGAAACTTAAGGTGTATTGCTTGTAGCATGTTGTTTTCTTTCATCAATAACACTTTTCTTTGACCAGGTCCTTGATCGTGGTGAGAAGATTGAGTTGCTGGTGGATAAAACTGAGAACCTTCGCTCACAGGTTAGTCCTATTCAGACCTCATTTTACGGGTAACCAAAACAATGGCTCCTTTGTGCTTTGATGAAGTTATTTCCTTTTCAATTCTAGAAATTATTATAATTATCTGTCCAACTTTTCTATTATAAACATCGTCGACAATGGTTTTTTTATGCCTCTTGTTTTGATACATCATATAATGCATTTAACTCTGATAAATATTAAATGCCAAAAGTATGGCGTGTTAAACTTAAAATTGAATTACAGGCACAAGATTTTAGGCAGCAGGGAACAAAGATGAGAAGAAAGATGTGGCTTCAGAATATGAAGATAAAATTGATTGTTTTGGGTATCCTCATCGCCTTGATTCTCATCATCGTGCTGTCAGTCTGCCATGGCTTCAATTGTTAATCTGCCTCGGATTTACTTTGTTCAAACACTTTTCTGCATTGCTGACAGTTTGTCTTGATTGATTGGTTTGCTTTACATCATTGTTCTAAGGTGCGCATTTCTCCCTTTGCTTGCCATGTAGTACAATAGATGGAGACTTTGTATCTTGGTTGATTGTATAGATCATAGTTTGAACTTCCTACGATAGATATATATATCCATTAATCATTTCTTCTCTGATGTTGTAACGGAGAAATAGTTGAATGTCTTTGCATTTCCTAGTTTTCCTACTGTGTTGCTTCGATTCTTCATTTTTATTAGATACATCTTTACATAACATTATTAAATCTAATATACAGTTTTATATCAATTTTATTAATTATTTGGATCATATATCACAATCATGTATACTGTGTGCAACCCAAAGCAAATCACCATTGTTTGATGTAAACCATCATAATAGTGATTGTCACCAAATACACAAATGCCCATGAATATATATAGTAAATACAAGGTTTGGACCTTCCTTGGGGGAGGCTGCCTTGAGTCGAGTAAGACTCGTGTAATCAAGTCAATGATGACTCGGTTGCCTTGAGCACGTGGCAATTTAGGTGTTTCGAGTCATTTACGAGGGATTTAACGTTTGTATAAGTTGATAGTACAGGTTTTCAGGATGAACAAGTTTGTCAACGTTGGATCCTATGCATCATTTCGTGCATTTTGATATGATGGTTGACGGTTTGTATCCGTGATGTTCGATTTCTTAATTTATTAAAAAAAAAACCTTCCATGAGATAAAATTATAGGAAGCTAAGGTTGTTATTAAATTGGTTTTGCTTGGTCTTGAAATTTCAAAATTGTGGGGAGCAAAGCCAAAAGTCTCTGCTTTTATATGTGGTCGTAAGGTAAATATAATACTAAACAACTTACCTTATCATCAATCGTTATATCACATGTCTGTCACCGTGCTTTGCAGTTAGTTTTTTAATTAAAGTCTTCAATCAACTTTTAGTATATTTATTGGTATCGTATTCATTAATCAGTTAATTTAAATGAATTATTATATAAAAATTTCGTAGAAATATTTAAATATATTTGACATCTGAAATCCATTTACGTTCAAGTTGGTAATTAAACTTTAATTTAATCCATTATTTTTATATTTTACATCATTTTTAAATCATATATGATATTATCTTTTTCATTTGATATAACCTTGTATTTTCACATCATAAAGAAATTAATAATATTAATAAAAATATTAAATTAACAAGCGTAACTAAAATTTGAATATTAACTTAAAATAAAAAAACTTTTAAATATAATTGAAAAAAATGGGTTAAATTCATAAACGAACTTTGTAAAAAAATATTTAGATATATTAACAATATCTAAATAAAAATAAAATAAATAAAAACACGAATTTCACACCTCGTCACACTTCACACTCATTCGCGGGAAACCAACGGTTATTAATTTTAAACGTAATAAAAACATTAAAATATTAAATAATGACCTTTCCGTGCTCCATAGTTTGCCACGTGTTCCTCCGACGGCCAGGCCCTCCTTTCACTAAAAACAAAAACAAAAAAAGAACAAGCGTTGAAATGCACTTTTTTTTTCTCCTTTTCTACTCAAAATTCTTCAGATTCAGAAAATCAAAACTATCTCTCTCTAAAGTTCGTTTTTTTGTCTATCTGGTAAGGAGTTCCCGTTGTCGATTCCGCCATGGACGTAACAGCGCCGCCGGGGCTCGTCTACTGCGGTATCGATCCGGTCCGCTTCTCTTCCCCGCGCTCTAACAGTGTGTCTATTCGTACGCGAACCAGACATGTTCGCGCCGTAGCAACCGAACCTAAGCCCACTCGTAACACGCCGTCTCAGTCTCCTCCTCCTCCTCCAAACAACAACATCAACGGCTCCTCCAAGTCCGCGTCATCTAAAAAATCCATTAACGGGGTAATTTATCAGCTAAACACAGCATATAAATATTCATTTTTTTTAAATAAAGTATAACAATCTAATAAATATTTATAAGATAAACACTATATAAAAAGTATGATAATAGTAAGTTTAAAAATTCAACATATAAAACTTAATAAATCCAATAAAATTACTCGTTTAATGTTTTATATATATATTGGATGACTTTGCTAATTAACCCATCAAGATTTTGGTTACTTAATGATTAAATCAAATTAGTTTGGTTGGTTGGCTCATTTGAGTTTTACTGAATTACGCATACAGATATTATAAATTAACTATTAATAAGTATAGAGCTTTTGATTTTTCGATGATTTTTTTTGGTAAAAGTTTTAGTATTTTTCTAGTTAATGCTTTGATGATAATTGAACTACCAGAGGATGGGAGAAGTTTCGCAGGAAATAAAAAGAGTGAGAGCACAAATGGAAGAAAATGAAGAGTTGGCTATACTAATGAGAGGACTTCGTGGGCAAAATTTACGGGATTCACAGTTTGCTGACAACAATATTCAGCTTCGGTTGGTTGAGGTAAAAATCCGTTGATTATTTCATTTCTGAAAAGTGGAATATTTTGAAAGCTTTAGAAGAGTTTAATGAACTTAGGGCAGGTATAGTGATGTTTTGGCGGAAAACATTTGTTCGGATTGCTGTTTCTAGCCTCTGTGCCATTTATTTATTGTGCAATATTTTTGGCTGGTCATGTATTAATAATTTTCTCGTTACATAGGTTGATGAAAGCAGTGAGTTCTTACCATTGGTATATGATCCGGCTAGCATCTCTGCATACTGGGGAAAACGGCCTCGTGCTGTTGCAACTCGTGTCATACAGTTACTATCTGTTGCTGGGGGTTTTCTCTCACGTTTGACTATGGATGTGATAAACAAGAAGGTCAAAGAGGTGAATATGTGATGCTTTATCATCTACTTTTTGTGTTAGCTTCTAATTTCTGAATGTACTAATTGCCATAATTTTTACAATTGATTCTCACTCCCTCCATGTTCTTTCATTAAAGTTTTTGGGCTTCATTTGCTTTTTGCATGTGTTAGTGACTAAACCCACTCATGTTTTTTCTTGTTCAAATTTGTTTCTGTTTTATTAACAGAATGAAGTGGCTAGAGCTATTGAATTAAGGGAAATAGTTACCTCTTTGGGCCCTGCATATATAAAGCTTGGACAAGCATTGAGCATTCGACCAGATATACTTTCTCCTGTCGCAATGACTGAGCTGCAAAAGCTCTGTGATAAGGTAGAATTATCACATTGGCATTTCTTCATTCTTTCCCTTCAAAATTATTTTATTGAATCAGTTTTTTACCCCAAAAGGTTTCCAAAAGAAGTAATTTATCAGGAGTGAAGAAATTTAATCCTTACATTTAGAACCATTATTATTGGAGATAAATAACATGAGAACATGACTGCCAATTAGTTCTGATGCCTGTAGATGTTTTTGTCTTATAATTGGGATGAAATCCTCTATAGTATTCAACCTCAGAAATGTCTCCAGTGGATGGCATGACTTCTTGCGCCCAAATCGTCAATCCTTTTCTATAGACTTAAAACGCGGCATGCATTTTATTTGTTGGTTTTAATACGATATCAATTTGCAAATCAATAGGTTTTGGGGAAATTGGATTGGATGGAGACAGCCCTCTTGATTGGTCTCTGCAACTTTTCATCCTTTTATGCATAAACCATTCGCAGACATCAGCTTTTTGGGGAAAATAACTCTTAATTACCACATGATAGGGATTTTAATCTGAAAGTTTTTTTTCCTCCTGAAATGCGGAAAACATTCTGTAATGTGGATATTATTAGTTAGCATTAGTATATTTTTTATACTTCTTTAAGGGTGGTATTGTAAGTATATGTTTATAACTGACTTTTCTTTCCTCAAGTGAAGGTTCCTTCATTTCCAGATGACATAGCAATGGCTCTTATTGAAGAGGAACTTGGTCAGCCATGGCAAGAAATCTACTCTGAACTTTCCTCTTCGCCAATAGCTGCTGGTAATCTCAGCTTGAATATGTTGCACACACACAACACAAACATATATGCATATTTATTTATATTACATTATGTAGATAATTTTATTAGTTTTTACCTGCTATTTTAACTATAAATATTTTGAACTGTTGTGGAATACCTTTGGCAGCATCTCTGGGACAAGTGTATAAAGGACGCTTGAAAGTGAATGGAGATCTTGTGGCTGTCAAAGTGCAGAGGCCTTTTGTTCTTGAGACGGTGACCGTTGATTTGTTCATCATAAGAAACTTGGGTCTGGCGCTCAGAAAGTTTCCTCAGGTATATAATATATATGTTAAAGCTTAGCTTTTTGCAAAACATTTTCCTTATAAAGATGCTTCTATATTCTGTAGCTGTACTGTTGATAATTTCCTGTAATTTTCTCACTTGCTTTCCCTTATTCATTCCAGATTTCTATAGATGTTGTTGGGTTGGTTGATGAATGGGCTGCACGATTTTTTGAGGAGCTAGACTATGTTAATGAGGGTGAAAATGGACAACTCTTTTCTGAAATGATGCGAAAAGACCTTCCACAGGTTAGTATGGTATTCTTTGCAGGTATTACTTTATGATGTCTACTGAAGTAGCTCCCGAATTTGGAGAAACTCATCTGGTTATGCTTTTCTGGTTAAAAGAAGTTATTTCAAGCTGTTCTTTTTAGCTAGTTTCCTAAGAATATGTAGTGAATCAATAGATTCTCAAATTTTGTTTTCAGGTTGTTATTCCAAGGACCTATGCCAAATACACTTCAAGAAAGGTTCTTACTACAGAATGGATTGAAGGAGAGAAGCTATCACAAAGTACAGAAAATGATGTTGGTGAACTGGTCAATGTTGGAGTCATATGCTACCTAAAGCAGGTAATTGTCATCCTAGTTTATGTCTGATGGACATATGGTCAAGGAAGAAACTTGACTTTCATGTCAATCTTTCTTGGGTGCATCTTTCTGTTACTTTTTTGTCACCTTTTTTTTTTGGATAATTAATGTTAAAATGGGATTAGTTGCCTTCGCCTGTTAAATATTGATCCATCAACTTATTGATGATAAGAAGGGTAGTGATGTCAGAGATGGTCGTGAGAGTTTCAATTTATCAGAATGGCAGTAGTGACATTTAGGAGAGTTATTCATTCCTGCTTTAATTTCTAAAACACTAGCCAATTCCTTGGATATTTAATCGTATCCTGTGCAATTGGTAACTTGCTGCAGTCAAATTGTAGTTCTAAAATTCA